GCTTCTTTACTCTGCAGAATAACATTCAAAATAACATCAACATACAACAATACCAATTATAAGTGATAACATTCAAGCAGCCAAAAAAGACATACTGCTATACGCTCCTTAGCTTCTGCAAGCATTATTAGGTCTCTTATGCTAATCTGTCTCGGGTCAATCTCATCTTCAGGTGTTTGCAGTAAAACTTTGTTCACTAAACATTTCAAAGATAATGAATTATCGACTGAAGTTCATTCAGTTTCTTCCAACAGGTGCAGCATGAGTTTATGATAACATTACGTAAGACTGCAAGTTCATTTACCTTGCCTTCTCCTTCGCCTTGTGGCATGAGGAAACTTCTTTTTAGGTGAATTCTCTACAACAGAATCAGGTTTTTCAAAGGCTTTCTTACGCTTCCGAGTGGGTTTTTCGATTTCAATTGTCTGCCTCTTTGACTTTCTCTTGGTCCTCTTTGGCCTAGGCATATCTTCATCCCTATGACAATCATCACTTTGGCTGTTATCCATCTGAGAGACATTAAAGTTGTCAATATCACGTTCATCATTGCTTCCAACTTCAATTTGGTCAGTACTGCACTTGGCTATCCTCTTTCTCAGTTTCCTACATGGTTTATGAGCATCATCATCTTCATCATTTTCTGAAGTAGGCCTTCCTTCATGGATCCGCTGCTTAAGTTTTTGAACAATTTGGGATTGGGACTCGGTATGAATATCCTCCAAACCCTTTGGAAGTCTGATTTCTTCTCTATTCTGGGAATAAAGGTGACATACCTCATAAGATGTGATCAAATAAAAATTACCTTACATAATCAATCTAGGATAAGAGATACTACCAATTACTTGAGAGTAAGTTTAAATGTCATTGGCAACAACTTAAGGTTAGAAGTCTCAGTAAAATCTGTTTGCACTAAGGCCAAGTCATCAAGGAACAAATGAGTCAATGTCAGTGTCTGATTTAACAGAAGCATGATCCTCTAAGAAGTCTGTCTTTACAGTTGAAGGATCCTTATCAAAAGCGACAGTGTCGATAACACTATTACAAACAGCAGAACCAGTGCTTGTGATGTCTCTTAATCCAAGTCTCGGCATCAGATGAAATTAACCAGCAGATTGAATTCTATGATTCAACAGAAGTGTAAAGAAAAAAAGAGAAAATTCAATACAGACCAGAAAGTAGCAAAATTTGAACAATAATCCCACTTCAAGGAGGATTGCTACATACAAAGTTGTGGCTGGCTTGGAAGAAAATTAGTATTGAAAGTTTCAGCCTGAATTCCCTAATGCATCATAATAGCAAACAGAATATCCATATAACAAGTTCTGCTGATAAAAGACAAGCGGACAAGAAACAAAGTTTACCTCTTCTCCCACCTCTCGGTGATCTATTTGAACACCTTCATTGCAGTCTGAGGTTATGATTGATGAATGCAAAGGATTATCCACAGGTATATCGATCTTCGCTTGTACAGAAGAAGGGTTCGTTATCTCAGAAAAGGATCCCATGGGAGGAGGACCAGTAATGGAAGCATCAGGAAGAATAAAAGAAACAGATTTAGCAGTTCCCTTTATTGGTTGTGACTTGTTTCTAGGTTGGAACTTGCCTACTTGTCTGACATCTAGAAAGAAAAATAAGTTGATAACAAATCATCTCAAAGCATTCGTTAAAAGACAAAAGAGAAAGGAATAGAACATGTTGCCAAACAAAGCCTACAATTCAAAAAGTTATACGATGAAATGTCACATATAAGTATATGATCTAGTACACAATGCTTCGACAAGTTTAGAAATCCAGAAAAAAGAAATCTCTGACTGATCTTTGTACAAAAGAAAAAAGAATCCATTAATGACAAAGACATATGCATGAGAAAGATGTCATGAAAAATAATTTTAGCAGCAAAAATTCACTTCATATCATTGACTTACCAGGATCAGACTCAATAGTACACCAAGACATCCTGAGAAATCTTTTATAACCTGCAAAGGTTGCCACATTTAATTTTCAGTATAATCATGCAACCAGCACAAATTATACCCAAAAAGAAACACTCCAATATAACACACAGAAAGTTATTTAAATATAACAAGATAAGATTAAAACTTTCCAAGAAAAAAAATTAAAAAAAAAATAAATTCCCAAATGATGACCAATCAGTGGCTGCTGGGTTAAAATGTAACTACCTTAGTATGAGCTGAACATACCAAAATTGAGAAACTTTAGTAACATGTCCAAATGAGTTTAAACTAAATGTAACAATTCATAACAGCCACGCATATGTTCCCTAAAAAGGATCACTTAATAAGATCCATGCATCATAGTGCTTGCAATCTCTAAAAGAATATAAAGACGAGATAAAGTGGTGATAGAATACGATAGTACACTTTTCAGATGTGTAAATAATAACTTCAAGATGTACACTTTTCACAAGTTTAAACCAGTCAAATGGAAGATTCCCAATATGTCTCAAAGGAGAACATAGCAGATCCAACTTATGCTAAATAAGCACAAAAAAGAAATGGGACATCAGAGCAAGACATGCCAAGGTTGGGTACAGACAAACAGTTCTCAATTCAATCATACTAGAAGAAAACACAGTAAAAATAAGTTCGAAAGAAGGCTCATATAGGTTGGTGGCACTCTGTTTTAGCATAAAAACATAATACACATCGATGGAGAACACATGTTCTGCTTCAACTTTACAGCAATGGATAACAAAAAAGAATGGTCCAATGCACAAGTTCTCGCCAATGGAAGTCTAGAGAGCGTCAATGAATGCACAAGCAAAGAGGTGGTTTCCATGACTCGTAGCAAACTAGCAACCTTACCATGACACCAATGGATGACAACTGATCAAAACTTGGAAAACATTAAAACATGGAAAAAGTAAAACATGCATCACAATAACTAATGTACAATTTAGAATATCAACATATCCTGATAAGCAAGATCCCAATGATATCTTTTCCCTATTTGGTGAGCAGAGAATGCATGCCACTTAGTACTGCAAAGACTCCATTTTCGGTTAGAATAGCAACAAGTATTGATATTCAACGATTTGATTTTCTCATTTAAGTATAAAATTTCCGGAAAGGAAAAGTAAAACATTTTTAAAATAAAGAAAGGTAATCAAATACGAATAACCAGATGCAATTTCACATCCTCTGTGCAGATAGCTTTGCATGATGAAACTTCCAAGGAGATATGCCCTTTTTCTAATGAAAAGTTTCGACATTATAGATAATGGGGTACTTGCATAGGAGACTATATTTATTCTCGAAAGTATTTTTCTAGCGGACTGAGATGGACAATAAAGAAAAATCTCTCACAGCAACAATCCAGAGAGGGGGGAAAAACAAAAATGAATCTCCAAGTACATGACATGTATTATGCAAACAAGTACATTTTGATCGAGCTGCTTTTGTCACTGGTCCTATTTATGTTACAGCTGCCACATATACATTGTAAAGAAAATATTATTTTAGACTTAGGATACATAA